AAAAAAAATAACAGAGCTGTCTGAGCATAGGTATAATATCCTGTAAATAACAGGATTTCAAAGTTTTGGGGGCAATGCCAAAATAAGCTCTACTTCAAGTTAAGGTTCTAATGACATTATATGTAATCTAACAAATTTCAAGCTCAGTTATCACAGTATATGATTTGCTCTCTCTTCTTGATTTCCTGCTTGGGTATCACATCAGGTGTGTATCTGCATAAAATCAGAGGTGACTGACATACACATATATGAACTTCTTAAGGAATGGAAACATTTCTTAACGTGGAATTTTTTTAAATTTGGAAATGTTACTTCATTCCCTGCCAGAAATTCAGAAATTGCTTTAATCTAACAATGCAATTTGAATTATGGCCTCTCAAACACTCTTGGTATAAAATAGTTTTACATTCCAAGATAGGAATAAATGTCTAAAAGTAAAATAAAAAATTCCTTACGGGTCAAAAAGTTTCTGATTTGCTTGATCAGGTCTCGTAGCTCCTCGTTGCTCCTGTCCACTTTTTCTTTGGTAGCATTGGTTTTCAACAGAACATCCTGAGCGCTCTGCTTTGCCTCATCTGCCCTCAGTTTGGCTTCAGAGACCTAAATATGAGAAGTAAATTATCCAGGGAACAACTCCACTCTTCCTAAAGCAGACCAGAATATTAAAAATGGTCCAGAAAATGATGTTGAAAAACTAAGCATTTGGAATCATGGCTTTTACAAACAAATGTCTCCATTCAACTGCATTATATTCCTATACAGACTGAAGTATTCGCTATACAGATTCCCATACAGTATTCTCATATAGATAGGACTAGTGTATACATTTTTTTCTAGTTTTTAACTCCTCCCAAACACTTGGTACTTATAAACTGTTTCTTAGTCTTTTTCTCAGGTATCAACATAAATAATACTTCAGTTACTATGAAGTTAATACTTCATGTAGACTTTGGAAGAATAAATGCTCAGTTGCTGAGTATAGAATTTTTGTAGTACAGCTAGATGTATTCATAACCCTGGACCCAGTAAGTATCATGGTTATCTCAAATTATTGTCATGCAAAGGAAGCAAAGTCTTAAACTATTTATGAATAAAACCTCCTCATCTGTTTCCCGGACCTCACAAAAACGTGCATTTCCATACATGGTATGAAATGCTCTTTTGATTTTAGTCAGCACTTAGAATTGCTTTCTCCCTTTCAGATCCTCCGGTCCATAATGGAAACTGCACAAACAGTGAAAGCAGAGGATGTCCATGGAATTACCATCCTGGAGAGCTGTTCCACCTCAGCCAGGGCGCTCAGGACATCTCGGTCAAAGTCCATGGCCTTCTGCCAGGCGTTGTGAGCGACAGTGACCAGACCACCACAGCCAGGCCCCCCACACTTCTTCTGTCCTTCGTCAGTTCTGCAGTTGGGGCCGCCACATTCGGTCTCGGAACAGGAGGCCCCTGGAGGCGTCCCACAGGTCTGCAACAAGCAAGGGGCAGACAAGGTTCAGAGAGCGACTGCTGCAGCAGGGTGACAGCTGAGCAGGGCCCAGGGGCCCAGGGAGCGAGTAGGTGGATCCCAGCTTGCAAACAGTGTTCAGCATGGAGAGAGGAGGAGGGAATTTAGGAATAAGCAAACTTGTCTATTTCCAAGGAAACAACGCACATTTACAGCCCTCACCAATACCTTCTCCCCTAACGAAGTGGAATGCCATACGGGCTCTGCACAGGGGGCAAATATTGGCTATAACAAGTTCAAGTCTGCCAACAGGAGAGCCACCAAATGCTGCCCCTTTGTTCTAACCAGTTGGATTTAAACAAAACAAACAGGTATTGAGAAGCTTCTTTAGACTGGCACCATGTTAAATAAATGTTCTGGTGGAGAGGGTGACATAAAAAGCCCATGATCTGGCCTTTTAGTAACTTCCCATCCACTTAGGAAGACAAGATCACTCTACATAAAACAGCCAAGAATAGGTCAGATGCGGTGAGTAGGGAGGAAAGTAGACTGAGAGGAGGACCCAGGATGAGGACCGGAGTCGTTACAGTTGGGGGAGGACTGTTTGCTGGTGTGACTGAGCAGGGGAGGTGGGGGAACATTCCAGGTGTGAGAGGGAGAGAGAAAACAGGAACAAAGGTGGATTAATTTTTCCAAATAAGCAACTCCCCACAGACTCTCCTTTCCTAGCTATCAGAAAGTTCCAAAGATCAGGGCTTGGTCATGGCATACGCATGACAAATTGGTCAATTTTGAATAAATACAATAAACTCTTTAGCCTAGTAATTTCGTGATAATTACAATCCCATTGTACCTCAAAATAATAAAATAATAGTCTTTCATATATCTGGTTTACAGTACATGAAAAGCTTCAGAAAATAAAATGTATTCTGTGTGCTACAGAGGAATATGAGCTCTAATTAAGAGCAGCATAAGAAGACCTCAGGGATGCTTTCTGAAAACAATCTGACAAGGTGCTAGAAGATATGTTTTACTTCCGCATGGATCTAGCTAAATAGACACAAAGACAAAGAACTGAAGGCACTTGAAGAAACACAAAGAGACAAAAACCTGTGTGGCTAAGAAGTGGCAGTATGGCGTTCTCATAGGATAACTAATTAACAAAGACAAACATACAATGAGAGGGAGCTGGCTAATCCCTAGGTAGCTCACCAGATGGAAAAGCAAGCAACAGAGCATAGAAACAGAGAACAAACTCATGGTTGCCGGAGGGGAGGGGGTCAGCGGGCTGGGTGAGGGGTGGAGAGGTTGCTAAGTGCAGATAACAGTTGGAGTCGTCACGGGATGTGGAGGACTGCATCGAGAGTGTGGTCAGCAATGCGGCAGTGACTGTGTGGTGCCAGGTGGGTGCTAGACGAATGGGTGATCACTGCAGAAATTATATAGGTGTCTAACCACTACACTGCACACCTGAAACTAATATAAAATAATACTGAATGTCAACTGTAACTGAAAAAATTAAAAAAAGAAAAAGAAGGAAACCAAGCAAAGGGAAGGGCACGGCTCCATTCATATTGCCAGAGGGCCCAGCCCGGCCCATCGGCCAGCCACGCCCGTGACACCTTGGTGGCAAAGCAAACACCCCTTAGCATGCTTAGCTGCTTTTCATTTTAGCTTGCTGAGATTTTATTTGTGATTACTGGTTTCTATTGGAATTTTTAAGGAAGGAATCAAGGCTGAAAGGAAAGGCTGAAAGAATTGCATTGCATGCTTAAGTATAGCGATTTTGTCTCCTGTTAGGTACAGTGTATATATTGTTCTGGGCCTCCATTTTTCTTTGTGTTAAATAGTGAGAGGAGATCTACTTATTCTCTATTTCCATGAGATACTATAAAGTTTCTTAAGATAATGAATATATACTGTAGGCATCAATTAAATTCATCACAACACAGACCATTTTTGTCTCTGTCAGAGAAAGGGGCGGTGGGGGACGAGGCAGGGAGGGAGTGGAACTAGCACTAAGATAACTGTGATGAAGCCGGAACGCTTCAGTCTTCTGTGTCCTCACTATCCCCCCCACTTTTACTATTCCTGTTACTAAGCTAAGAGAGCACAAGCCTTATAAAATATAAGTCTATGAAAAATACCCTCCAAATTCTCTCACCTAGGTACTCTTCCACGGAAAACAATAAGAAATCAGGAGGAATAAACAGGCTGACTTTGGCTTTTTTTTTTGGCCTTCTGCCTGATTTTCATTAAAGTCACTACTCAGTTTCATTTGGCTCCAGGGTTACTTTTTAAAAGCTTCTGGGAAATGAATCTACTCTCTGGGCTGGTTTTAGGATTAATCTTCACCAGGTAAAGTTACTGGAACAAAGGAACATTTTAACTAACACCCATGGAAAAAAGTCTTTAGCTCCCTTTCATTTTTTTTAGGAAATTCCTCCCAGAATGATTCTGAATTGCTTCACTGAGATGGAGTTTGCACTTCAAATCAGAACAAAGTACAAAAGAATGTCACAGTATACAAAGAATCAAGTTTAAATACAACGTCAATGAGTTGGTACAAGCGTACGGGAGAGTAGTCGCAATTCTCTGGTTGTACCGGAGACACGGCTTGAAGAGAAGGAAGATGGGAAACACACAGCTGTGGTTTTTAATCTGGCTTGGTCATGGTCACTCCACACTGTGGTCCACAGACTAGCCTGGGAGTTTCACTCCTGCTGATTCATTTGCAAAGTGAACAATATTAAAGACAAAGCAAGGTGTGTTTTTCCTCTAATATCACTGATAGCCTTGAGGCCAAACCCCCTGCACTTACCAATTCGGCAGCAGCTGAGAGGTCCAGACTTTGCAGTTTGCCTGCCAGTTCATCCAGGAGGCGGGCCTGTTCCTCTTGTTTTTCCCTGAACTGGGACTCTCGCTCCAACATCAAGTCTTCTACTCTGTCTCGAGTGAGCGCCGACTGCTCCACAGTGCTGTTGGGGTCTATGGTGGAGGCATTCACCCTCTCCTCTGCCTCTAGAGACATCTGGAAATACTTGGTGATGCTGTCCAAGGCACCTGAGCACGGAAGGAAATTGCCCAGTTAGTCCCCGTGGACTCAGTCTCCTCATCAAGCAATGTCCATATTTGGTGTCTTCCAGCCCTGAATTTACTGCATGGTTTTGTTTTAAAATTCAAGAAATAAAATCTTTATGGAGAAATACAACTTTCCTCTCATGATCAGTGAATGTACTTTGTCCCGTTAGCACCTACTCTGGCTCTGGAGGATGCCAAACATCTGGCTGGAAAATTAAGTCAAGCATGATGTTTCTACACAGGCCAACATCCTGTTCTTTCTCAGCAGCTGGTGTGAAGCAGCCTATAGGTTACACGTCCAGCTAATTTTCCCCTTTCTCATTTATTTAGATCCATTCAAATGGTTCGTATTACATACGTAAAACAGTATGACAAGCTTTGGCTTGAAGGACGTAGCCAAAAAATAAATAAGCAATCATGCATTAAACAGGGTGGATAGTGTGATCTGATATATTTCTACTTTCTTTTGCTTTTGGGGGGAGGGTCCTTTATATGGACAACAATAATAAATGAAGGATTTGCCAAAATTATTTCCTGACCAAGCAATATTCTTGAATGTAAAAGGATTTGCAGAAGTATCAACCTAACTTCTTAACTATTCAAAAGTGCCCCTTTCCAAGCAAAGCCAAGGAGATTAAGCCACTAACTGAAAAAAATCAGGAAACGAATGCCATTCCAATGAACTGACTGTTGCTCGCCCCTGGGACCTCTGCTGTGTCTCTTAGCTTCTCTGTGGCCCAGGTCCCACATTTATAAAATGAAGACTTTAATTCTCATTTGTGTCAGAGACTCAATGAGGAAAAGCTTTACAATTATTAGAAAGCACTCAATTTTTTTTTTTTCTGAAAGTGCTGTATTAAAAAGGTTAGACAAATGGTTAAATCCATGGTCCAGGATTGACTATTGGCACAGAAAATGCTCACCCCGAATATCTGAATTTTTGATAAATTCTAATTGTTCAGCAAGCTCCTTCACGGTGTTGTCTAGGCTTTCTGCTTCTGCCTGTAGAGAATCTAGTTCTTTGGCTGTGCTGTTTCTTTGTGAAGCCGTGTCAGATAATTTCACTTCTACTTGAGCCATCTTTTCTGTAACATCTTTGGTGAGTTTCCTGTAAAGAGAAGGGTAAGTTCACCCAAGTAAAATAAACCAAAGGGGAATTTTGAAGTCCCATTTTCACATTTTGTACTAATACTGTATCCATTATTCTGTACTTTCAAACCAATTCAGTAGTTGGTAACAATGTATCCCTTAGGACTGGTTTTATTCTCCTTATCAAGAGACGATATTAAATCTAAAAATTTTCTTTGTTCAGACTTTGCAGAAAAAGCGCAGAAGCACCACTCAGCTGTGCTGTGGCAGATGGGCATTTGAAGGATTCCGGATTTCTGCTGTAATATGAGCACAGGTCCAGACGGTGGGTTCCAGCTCTGCACATAAGTGGCTTCAAGCCCATTCAATCCCACAAACTCAAAAGACATAAGTGACTCCAGTGCAAAATTATGCCTCCCAGCCCCCTGCCAAAAATATGCTTATCTGAACCTCGGGGATCTCCTGCAAGATGGAACATGCGGAAAGGAAGCCCCGCAGGAAGCAGGACGCAGGCAGGAGCCAGCCTGCTGCTCACAGTCTCCCCTTTAATCAAGGTCCATCAAAGGGGCCTCCACCTTCCACCAACAAGCAGCCCTTTTGTTTTTCATAAGAAAGAAGGTAGCATCTACTGAGAATGAAAAATGATAAAAACATTTAGCTTTCATAATATTGCATTAGGAATCTAAACTCAATTGCATTTTGTTCTGTATCTTCTTATCTCCAAATCTGTACTTCGGGTACCTACGTGTATATTGTACATACAGTGTGGTGCACACGTGTGTGTATCACAGTGAAAGTAATTTCTGAGAAGACCATTGCTCTGGCTTTATTGGGTCACCTCACTGAATATAATTGTCTTCTCAGGAATATAACAGTATGAAAAATTGGGAAAATGTAGAGATGCTGAAAGGTCT